AGAGCCTCGAATGCTGATTACGAATATGCAGATTAAAAGTGCTACGGGGACCTCCCAGACGAGATCTGGGTGGTCAAAGTTTGAGTTCTGGCTCGTAAGCGCTGCTGATCGATGCTTCGGCAGTGCCACCGTGGCCTCGTGGTAATGGTCTCGCTTTCAAGTCAAACGCATGCGGGTTTGCATCCGGTTGGCGCGAAAATTTTTGCTTCGCTCCGTATAAGAGCTTCAACTCTAATTTTCGAAATTCTTCCGAATTTACGGCCCAGCAGGGCAAGTAGATCAAGTACATCAAGTATACGACGTACTCGATCTAGTATGGATTTGGTCATATCTGCCCTCTCTGAACATATTACCCATCCGACAATTCAAAGTTTTAGCGAGAAATTCGTTCATGGAGAAACACGAATATCACATCCTTCGACGAAAAAACGCTCGTCTGGCCAAATTGCGATTCTGGGCAAAACTTTGAATTGTCGGATGGGTAATATGTTCAGAGAGGGCAGATATGACCAAATCCATACTAGATCGAGTACGTCGTATACTTGATCTACTTGCCCTGCTGGGCCGTAAATTCGGAAGAATTTCGAAAATTAGAGTTGAAGCTCTTATACGGAGCGAAGCAAAAATTTTCGCGCCAACCGGATGCAAACCCGCATGCGTTTGACTTGAAAGCGAGACCATTACCACGAGGCCACGGTGGCACTGCCGAGGCATCGATCAGCAGCGCTTACGAGCCAGAACTCAAACTTTGACCACCCAGATCTCGTCTGGGAGGTCCCCGTAGCACTTTTAATCTGCATATTCGTAATCAGCATTCGAGGCTCTATCGATGTACCTAGGTCTCCATTCAAAGTTCCATGGGAAGTTCAAACCATTCCCTTGTAAGTGGTAGGCCCCGCACAGGAGACTGGGCGGGCCTTTGGTTTGCGAACAAAACAAAATTGTCTTATGAACAGCCTTACCAGTTGCACATTGGTAACCAGTAAGACAACTTTATCGGTGATCTGCGCGTAAGTGATGAACTCATCGGTCTCAGCCAGCTCTCCTCGATCAGTATCCTGAAAGTAAAAAATATTGTCGCGTCCCTACCTTTCCACATTCAGGAACGAGTACTACACCCCCCCCCCACCCCCTAGCACTTTTTCGTGATCTCCTGATTACTCCTTACGAATTCCTCCCATTGAAATAAGCTCATTCAGATCAAAATAATGCTCGTACTATCTTTTGCTTATTTCACCACTACAAAAACCCCTTATGACTGGTTGAAATGAGCCAGGACATACGGTCATGATCCCCGCAAATGAGGGGGCATGTAAAGTGCGTGGTTTGCCACGCAGTCACGGCAGCCTTTCCCACCAATTTATGATGAGGTAGCAACAATTGGTGGAAAAGGCTTTCAGTCTAGGCCCCCCCCCCCTCATAGATTCTCTCGCTTGGATCATGACTGTATCTGAAAAGGTCAACAAGCAACAGAAAACGTGTTCCAACCCACGTTGAAGATCTTGAATCCGAGGGAATCATGATAGCTGTATGGTCGGATGATGTGGTCAGGACGTATGACACGAGGAGGGCGAAGTGCTCCAGCCTCGCTGGCACCTGCGACTCGCCGGACTGAATGCATTGTGCTGCTCGCAAAGTCGACCACACCAGATACTGGTCGAGTGACGACTCCAATAAGACCCTGGACAATTATATGCATTTGAAGAAGCTAACCACTGGGACCCCTCCTAGAAAAAGCACCTGTTGCCTCACCTTTCCCACACCTTTGAAGAATCCTATTCCACCTTCCTGTTTAGCACCCTCCATTGGCTTCGTCACGATGCCTGTTATGCCACCAACGACGCCTGCACCAAGGCCTTTCACACCTCTTGCCATTCCTTCGCCAAACGTCTGAGGGCGACGGTTCAGGTCCTCCTACAATTACACATTGTGATATTATACGCGAGTTTGACGTACCAGAGCATCATTAGGACTCACTTGACGCTTTCGCTGGTATTCCTGATCGAAGGTGAGCGCTGCGACACCTTTGCCTACAGTTCCGGTTATTCTACCGACTGCACCAGCTGCACCACCTACAGCATGTCCAAACATCGACTGAACACCCAAAGCAACTCCAGACGCAAACTCCTGGAAGCAAACTTATACAAGAGTGGTGCGCGACGAAAAAAAACTTTTGCAGAACGTAGAAATTCCCGCGCGTACAATCGGAAAGGCAACGTGCGCGACACAAACACCTGGAAGCGTGCGTCGCCCTGCGGTCTATTTTCCCGACGAATATCGACCGCAAAGTCCTGCGATCGCACGCTCATGTTTCTGTATGCAGCATGGAAAAAAGGGAGTGTCCAACGTGCAAATATAGACTCGTTGTATCCCAGAGAGCGAAGTTGCGCGTCGGCGCCGTATCGCGACTAAACGCAGACCTATCTCTGTCGCTAGTGAAACGCCGACCAATAGAACGTAACTTTCCGCTCAGCGGCGCACCGGTCCGGTTAATGTATGACGCCTTTCATAGGAGCGGCGGAAAGCTGGCGGCGGGGGGCGCGGCAGAGGGTAATAGGAAGCGGATGAGAACTGTTAGCACGTCCCTCCGACCGGAGTACCTCTGGGGTCCGTGTGGAGATGAGGTCCGGTTGGAAAGGGCTGTGAGGAACAAGATCCTTCAAGCTCCTGCTGAAAGGATCTCGAAGCCAGAGCCAAATGGATTGCGCAATCGATATCAAGCCGAGAGCTAGCACGTACATCTAAACTTCTATAAAGACTCATGATCACTGAGGGGTTTGAAGGAAATTTTGGCTGAATCGGGAACAAGTAACGGATGTAAACCGGAAATATCAATGGAATGATGGAAAGAGATCGAAATATAGCTAACCCTTCCGGGAAATAAAAATGTTATTAATCACCCTGGATTGATCAGGGAAGTCTATCTCTCCAAAATCTCCGAGCCATTCCCGATCGTGCATTACTTTTCAAGCCATTCTAACAACAGTCACCATTTCCGAGTCTTCGATTTAATCCCATTAGTCTGGGTAAACAACACCGGTCGCAACGCTTGTTTTCGTAGTAATAGTGAAATAATCTCCGCATTGAGTCTGAGCACTGTCGATAAAATACACATTTTCGTATCGAGAAAATAGGCAAGTCTACAATAGACAAACCTTGTTCATTTTGCTACTGATAAACACACTAATGTAAAATTACGATTGGAAAAAGCCTACTTGAAGACTACGTCTTGAAGTTCAGTGACAGTAACTCCTACGCTCTGGAACAGAACCTTTGAAGAACTCGGACTGGATTGGCATCGAAGCCTCCACTTGCACCTTCTGCAGTGGTCCGCCATTGAGAATGCGGCAGAAAGGAGGTGGATCGGAATTTCAAGCTGTTGGTCACAGGAGCATCAATCGAAAGCGCAAAGTACCCGAATGTAAACTTGCACCTACAAACCAACTTGAATGGTGGGGCGGGGGGAGAACAGGGACAGCAGGAACTGAACAAGTTACGCCACTGCTCAGGAAAGTCTCGCTGGAGCCATGCGAAGGTGGTAGCCTGGTCACACAAAGCAGGGAGCAAAACCACGATTCCTCGAGTATTCATTGGGCCGCGAGCCACCGAATAGGCGTCAATTCAGTCTCGTGTGGGATTCTGCTAAGTCCTCATGCGACACACTGCTAGTGTGACCCGTAAACCTCTCCTATTGCTGCAAAAGTCATGGAAACTCTAGAATCTCCGTCACTCCACGAAAACCTACACTCATGTGATATAGTTGACCAGGAACTAGCAAAATGAGCTAGCGGAAGTGCAAAATGCCCCTTCCAAGTCAAACAGTGCCACCGAATACCTATTACGTTCGATGAATCTCCAATATCGCACACTCCAAGGAACAAGTCCAAGTACCATGCCAGTCGTCTTGTAGGAAGAGTGGTAATAACGAAGCCTGCAGTGGAAAAATTCACAGACCACATTTCCGCGATGATCGGGTTAGGCGAGATTCCGTCACTTTAGTACACCCGTCTACCAGTTTCCTCCTCATATAGAACAGAGGCCGCGCCAAGTGAGAAGTGCGCATGTGATCATAAATCCACCGCCGATCCAGTTACCAATGGATTGGAAGCAAGCCTATTCCAAATCAGTCGCGAGAAGCCTCCTTTCAAAATGGAACACGGCTCTGCTATTCTGCTCTTTCACTCGAAGCCGCCTTCCAACACACTTTTTCACTTACGATGGACGATTCCCGTCAACAACTTTTATCCAACCTGGGTGCTCAGAGGAGCAAAACCCTGAACACGGCAGTTGAACTGCTCAAAGCCACAATCCAGTCGATCGTAGCTAGTCGACAGCATTCAGAAAAAAGGGTCACCGCATCCAAGAGCCTAGTTTCGGCCGCAAGTTGCGCACAAGAATTCTCTATCAACAAGAGATCTTAGTGCAACATTAGGATCTACCATGAGAGGCGAAATATGCAGATCATTGTAGAAAGATCTTGGTTGATGTGATCGATTTTGCATTGCGGTATCCTCCAAGCCAACCAAAGCCGTTGCCATGTCCGCTTCGAACATTTCCTTCTGGAATAGGTAACTTCAGTGATTTTTTTTCTACAGCGGTAATAGCTATTCATGGACAGATTGAGCAGCAATGCTTGTGGTTGCGAAATGGTCGGTGTATCAGCGTATGCCGCAACCCCACACGCACTAACCTTACCGTCTCAGGCACAGCTATTCGAAATCTTACCCCGTAAGCTTCCTTGTTGACTTCTGACGCTATCAACGCCAAAAGGGCATTTATCAGTCCCTGGTCAACTTGTACAGCGAACTCCTGCACCAGAACTCTAGCATATTCCACTTCGGGTACTGTTGAGAATTCTGACTGCCTTTGCAAGAACGACAGCTCGATGAAAGGTTTCGGCGCTGAAATTAATTTCACGGTAAAGCAGAAACAAATAAGTCAAAAGGGCTGTAAACCTATGGCAGCACGCCAACTTTTCAAAAGTACTTACCATTGTCGACCAGAACACTCTTTGGAGGTGGAACATTGGCTAGTACTCGCGGGAAAACGCATGTCTCGAGCTGAAATAGTAAGTAAAAATTAATAAATATTCCAAAACCATCAACCCCTACTAATTTTATCGGGGAGGATCAAGCCTCGCTCCCATGCGTAGAATGACTAGCGAGCATACCGCTTTGCTATCAATACTCCAGGCTCTCGAAACTACTTGGGGACGCAAGCACGCTAATTATACAGGTGGACACAGTTCGCCACTGCGTCTTCTTCTTAAATGATGTGGTCCTAGCTCCAAAACGGTAAAGGTGGAGCGCCTGCCAACGAGGAAGCCAAAAAATCATAAACTGTGTCCGCCCACACGATAAACGTGGACTGTGAGTTCAACTCATTTCTAAAAATTGAAAACCCATTCAAATTTTGAAACTGTTCAGCTGAGGGGGAGAAAGTGGGTGACATGTTACATGTTCGCCTAGTTCCTGCGTCTGCACAAGATGCACTGGAGGAATCAAGGGAACCAGCGAAAATGCCCGCCTTCAAGCACAACCTCAAATACACCTGAACGGAATCGGCATTTTGATAGGCAGTCCAGCAGCAGCAGCAATGTCTCAGAGTACCGAAAGTAAAGACGCACCTGATTGTCAACCTGCATATGATTGATTTTGAGATGAAGTCGTATTCGTTCAGCGCTCTTTCCATAGTTTGCCCAGATTCCTGGAACAACACCAATGAACACCTGAATGTTGGGCAATTTCTCATCCTCAGATTAGCGCTACCATATCCTAAAGTTCTGCTCCAAAATACACCATAATTTTAAATATAAAAGGCCTATCTTACTAGTCAAAGGAACATTCCGCGATGATTGAAGGGCGGAGACACGCAACCTTCGCACCTTCCTTAGCGCGCTATAATCTTCACTTTGTTTAAAGCGGGAGGGGGGTCAATGCGGTAAGTAGAATGGCTGTGAGTCTCTGCCCCACTGGTTCGCGGAAGGTGTTTTTGATTCTTCGGAGCGATGGGACATCTAGCAAACAAGCAATTTCATGTCGTTGATGGGCCTTTCTCATTGCTGCGCTTTCCTTGAAAAGCGACGAAGAAATGGGCGCGCCAGTGAGGGATGCACAGCGATTGCGTTGCCCCGCCCACAGTGATCTATGATGACATGCTTACCTTTCTCGAATATTCGGCGAATTTTCACTTCCTTGCCCTTTTTCTTCTTCATAATCATGTACCCGAATGAGACTTCGAACTGATCGACTTGCTGAAGAAAGAAAGTCAAAGACTCACTGACACACATTGAGACCAAGATAACTAATACCTGATAGTCATTGTTCGGTTCAAGCAGATGTTCCTGATACTTTTCCTCCAATGCGTGCATGAGCTTTACTGCAAATGGTTTGAATCGCCCTTTCTTCACCTCTTCCTCCCATAGGATATCCGATGAATGTATTCCAATGTACAGCAACTGAAGATCGATTGCATTCCATTCCAGATTGGCAACGGTTTTGGAAAAGAAGCAAGTAAGTGAGTTAATAACCGGTTACCTCCTTGCCAACGCTGTTATCGACAATAGACAGTCCCACTCCTTGAAGGGCCAGTTCAGCTTGCATATCAACAGTATCAGTTTCCCACGATCCATACGCAGAACGGGCAATGTCCAAGTCATTGGTGAACAACAGCACTCGTTGCCTTCCGATGAGGAAGTTGGCCAGATAGGCGAACCTGGAAAGAGATGGTCCTTAAATAATTACACTTAATAATAATTACTAACTTATACTAAACCTGGCTCACCTCCTAACATTGGGGTCCGGCTGTATGTCAGCAAAGCGATTTTGTTCGAGTTTATCCTCTCCGGTGTATCCTCCTACTTTGAACTGCAAAAGGCATAGAATGCGAGCAAGGAAAAAAAACGACAAAGAGACGTCAGATTTTTGTTTTTTTTTCTTTGCGAAGATCCGATTATTTTTCAAACACTTCATCGTTTTGAGATCCACCCACAAGCACACTTTTAAAGGCGCCACCCATTTCACGTAAAACCCGCCCGTTTTCGTGAAATGCCTCAAATTAACTAGCTAAGGTTTCAATTATCAGAGAAAATTCTTTCGTCGCTTGGAACCTAGAACCACATAACTTAGGTCGTGGGGCAAATGCTGTGCAGGTGACACACCTGCAACATCTTTTCGGAATGAATTATAAGTTTAGGAGGGCATGCTGTATACAGTATCCAAAACCATGCGTGAAATTGAGTACACAAGATCAGCGACTGCCTACAATATCCTCACTTCTCGCTTAGGCAACCCCTGGAGAACGATAGTTCCATAAAAGTAGTTTACACTATGATAACGAAATCGCTTCGAGGGGCCTAACTGTGTGCATTCACGACATCGAAACATCCAATTTCACGCGCAACTTATGGTGTACTCTATGCTGTCTGTTTTCCCATGATTATCTTTTCTTTTTCGTAAGTTGAAAAACCGCACCCGTTTTGGATTACTCGCTCCTAGCGGAGCAACAGTATGCTAGAAATGTGGTCAGATGTTATCGAAACAGAAACTCAGGTTTTCGAAGTAAGAATTCAGGAAAAGAAAGAATAGCCTCACCTCCATAACCTTGTTCTTAGTGACATTGGCCCAAGTGAAGTACATCATTTCATTGCTGTTAACCGTCTTCATTTCGTGACCTTTCTGTCCAAACGTGACGGGTACCTGAAGTAGGAGCTGCTCATACTTCTTGTAGATCCCTAAGGCAAGATGATCCGCTGAAAAGAAAATGCTAAAACCGAGGCGCTAACGTGGTTGGAGAGGAAGGGAGAAGGCTTCTCGTCTTCTCCCCCCCCCTTCCCACCTGAGGTCGAGAGGAGGGAGGAAACCATAAGCTGATCAGGCCTCTGAACAAGCTCAACCCAGACGAGAGCCGGCCAGGCGACCAGAGTGGTCGCGACCTAGTCTCGCCCTAAATCCCTTTCCCCACCGCTCGAGATCTACAATCAGAACTGAGCAGTGTTATACGGTATAAGAACTCACCTTGAGACTGTTCATGACACACACCGGTGCCATTCCTTGTTGGAAAGGCGACAGATGGATGGCAACCGACGAATCAGACGTGGTCACACATACTTCAATACCGACTTGTTCATTGTCAATCTAAACAAAAGAGCTTTAGAAACAGGGAATCGGGAATTCCCCCAAAAGAACTCACATGACAAAGCGTCTCGAAATTCTCCGTGATGGGGAACAGTATTGACTCCTCCTGTTGTCCTTTATATCTTGCGCACAGGAACTTTCGTTTCGCACTCTGTTTCGGCCAAATGCCCACACACTAGAAACAGCACCATAAGTCGTAAGTCATACAGAAAGATGAAGTGAAAGAATTAAGGAGGGTATATGCGTGCAAATAACGCTCTTCGGAAGCGTTCAAACTCCCGCAGCCCACCAATTTCCAGTAGATTTCACCTCTGCTGCCAAACTTTACCAACCTTTTCAGCCGGAACAGATATCCAGTCTTTTTGTCCTTCCTCTCTGACTTCCATGTCCCATTTGCTGATATTCGAGACCAAAAAGAATGGACAGAATGTGACAATCTTTGTCAAACCCGACTGGCATAACTTGATGTCGACAGTTAACTGGAATGGGACTGTTATAAGAGCACTATTAAAGAGAAGAAAGTAAAAACACTCACTTCATATTCTCTGTCTGGTCCTTTACAGACCACTCTCGCCGGGTTACCAACAGTGTCGAGAGGAAGTTCTTGCGACCATTGAACGCCTGGTTGGTCCACCAATACACGAGACTAAAAACATGTTAGAGGAATCACTGCCCACTTGACTAACAAGGTTCTTCAGTAAAGTGAGTCTTTGAGCAAGTAGCCCTTAAATTCATCCCGGTAGGGACAGTGGGTGAGCTGGCTTCGGAGGCGGTGCGAAAGCTCGAGCGAGCATCATTGGAAAAAAGGACGTAAGGTCATGTGCCCTGAATGTCGCAAGGTGTGGCCCTTTGACATTCCACTAATAGGTTGAATTTATGCTCCGCCTCCTCACTGACCACCGACTACCTTTGAGACTCACTGTCTAGGACCCATGACCACATAAGGATTAAGAAGATCTGGATTTATCCCACAGTAGAAAAACGACACCAGTCGAAAAACCATTCGAAGACTACTTCTGGACCACAGAACAGAGAATGCAGAGGATCAGCCAACACGCGCAATCAAGGCGATTTTCTTGAATGTTCCGCAGGTTTGGATTCCGATACAGGGTACAGCATCCAAGAAAGATAGCGTGTCGGTACTCCCCCAATTTCTTCCTCTGGAACGACATCTCCGTACGACTCCCTCTAGTACGACTACTCCTCTCCCCGTCCTACTTACCATCTCAAACATTCCTCCCAACTTCCCACCACTTTTCCACGAACTCCCAAGGCAAAGGATGTTTAGCAGGAGGAAGAAAAGGGTATATAGCGCCCATGAAATGGGAAATATTGGAAGAAGTCAACAGCCGGAAGAACTCCTAACAAGATAGATGCCTGATATGAGCCCTTATTAAATCAATACGACCCTCTAGGAGAGACCAAGCATAATACCTTATGGGATTGCCGATGCTATACCCTGTTCCGAAATGCCCCCTCCCCCCCATACAACGTCCTGTGACTGAAAACGCAACAAAATCTACAGCAGGTCCTTGAAGCGAAACTTCTGACGTCCCTATCTGAAAGCGTCTCCAGAATACTGCATGCATTGCTGTGGCTGTGTTTGGCGCAGCGCCAGCCACTTTTCCACCGATTGTGATCGCCTACCAGCTTCCATAATTGGTGGAGGCCGCCACAAAGCCAGCCCCCCCCCCCCCCCCCGAATCGCACCAGTTCAAGCTTCCAGTATCCGCAGCGAACTAGAATCCATCAGTCAGTCGACCCCGAAAAGATAAAGCCGGCTTGGCCCGGGGAAGAACCAACATGCGAACTGACTCCCAATATGCGGCGTTCTTTTGCTACTATTTTACTTTCGCCCTAGGAAAAAGGCAAAAAAATCATGACCAAAGAAATCCCCTGTCTAAGCGCTGGCGCCACTTTCCGATGAAAATTCTATGGCACATACCTTCTTCTTCTTGGTGAAATCGGTCGTAGGGAATGGAAGGATCAGTGGATTTTCCTCAGCAAGATGCTTCACAGCATACTCAGATTCCTAAAACAAGAAAGATAGTACTGAAACTTGAAACTTCATGCAACAGTAATCTCTACACATTAAGTACTACTACTGTCTACTAAGCATTTTTCCAACAGCCTCTACTAAAAGAAATTGACAGAAAAGTAACCCAAAAACCAGACATCAAGCAAGAATTATGCAAAAAAGCTTGTACGCATGCACGATCTTTACCACAGTATCATCAACTCAACTCTCGATCGGGGTCGGGATCAACAAATGATGGGCGCTAGAAATATAATAAAAATTAAAACATTCTAGTCCATGTCTTTCAGATAATTGTTACCTGAAGCGATCAGTCTATAACGCATGAGATTACAACGAGAAATGCTTCATTAAGCAATACGTGGTGATCTACCATGGAATTATGGATCAAACCGCGCCGCGACCGCACGCGTTATAGCCAGGCAAATTCGGGAACGACCATCTGTGAGACACGAACTCCAGTTCAAATTTGATTCGAAGCGCCCAGTGAGCAGAAGGCCCCGACTCCTGCACAGCGAAGCAATGTTACTGCGATCGTTTTTGAGTATA